AAACACTTTTTAGTGTTGATGACCTTTACTGTTCACTTAGTCAGTAGTCACTTAATAAGCAATTATTGGACTTAGCATTTATGGTAACGAGAGCCATTATGCTAATCTCTGCTAAACTACGGCAATTTCTGCCCGGTGCAGTTAGGGTTCTGCCGATGATTTTCCCTAACGAAGTTTCTGCCTCCGTTCATAGGTTAAGAGCCAGTTCGGATGAAAAGATTCTGTCATGTCTCTTTCAAGCGAACTGTTCAACACTGTTGGAAAGACGGGATTTTAGAAGCTAGGGTTTTCAAGACTGTTTCTCTCATTGCAACTGAATAGACTGATGTAGTTTACAACTTGTACTTAGTCTGTTAAGTCATTTACAAATTAGCCTTAGCAAACTGCGTGCGAAGGTCAATCAGTCAATGAAACCGATGTTCAGAAATACGATGATTCAGTTTTGCAGGAAGTCTGTCTGGAAGCTTGTTTGCCTGCGTGTCTTGCCTTACCACTAATCGTTTCCCTCCTTTTCAACGACAGTCTAACGAGGTTGTGTGCCTCTGCCGGAACAACAATTGAAAGGAAATGTTGTAGGTCCTTGAACGTCTGAAAACGATGGCGTAAACACACTCGTAACAAAGGCATCCGCAGGGCGTCGCTTCAGTTGATTAACGCATTTACTCGAAACCCCCGTTCCGACCGCGACCGGTCGGTCACTCGGCGACCGGCGGTCGCCCGGTGCATCTGTCGCGCAGCCGTTCCTATGGAAGAACGTTGACAGGTCATAGTGCCTCTCGACCACCCTCCGGGGCAGTCAGGATCGTTTGTATCCAGTTGCAAATCGCCATGGCGGTTATCCTCTTCCAAACAGACAATCGTATCCTGTTTAACGTATGACCAACGTTGCGCATCGATGCCGCGCGCTTTCAGCCGTGGTTTGGGCTGTTTCCGCGTGACCGCCGTTTGATCGACCCTCGGACAGAGGGCTGGACCCCACAGCGCCTTCGAGCCATCGAACTGCCCATGCCTTGACACCACACAACATTCACTGAAGATCACGCAAGTTGTGTCCAGCAGTCGAATAGCCGATCTGGACGAAAGGCTTGTTTAATTGCTTTGAAGTTGGTACGCTTCGTCACCTTAATTAACGAGTTCATGACTTAATAACTGACGAGGAATGCTTCACGTGCGGCCTAAGCAATTTCCTCGTCCTTCAGAGGTAACAGTCGGAAGGAAGTTGCGAGACGACCATGGCGCGAGGTTCGCCACAGCTGTCCACCTGGCCGGTTGAGCAGCATTTGTCATCGTTGAGTGAGGCAATTTTTCATGTCGAATAACGCCCATTTAACAAAACTGCTGCTTTCATTCAGCTGTTGATCTCCTGAATCGATTTTTTTTACTCACAACCACAAGGCTGATTTTCATGATCATCATCAGTTTTTTCCACCCACTGTTAGAAAAATGCTTTTCCTACACATTAGTATAGATTACTGTTTTTTGCTATTATTATCCATCTTGATCCAATGAACTCCCTCAGCTAATTCTGCTACAGATTTGGTGGTATTCCTATTGACAGCTTAGTGTCTGTTGGAACTCAATCTAATGCCTTGCTGATCGAGCGATTGTCAGTTATTCTTGCACTGCACTTTTTTCTGCACCTCTCGATTAATTTTTCAATTTCTTCACTCAAGAAATAAAATCGCAAGCCTCTTGTTTGTACTCTTACTCATTCATTCCTCTTCCCAGCTTGCCCTGTTATTTTCAACGTGCATTTCAAGCTTAAGGCCCAGGTTTCGCACTACTACCTTAGCTCGCACTGACCGAAATATTTCCGTATCAAGCACGAAGGCAGTTTTCCGAATAGGAACAGTTTCAGTCTTCCAAAAGTGATGCATTGCATGTTGATTCTTCCGTTGATTTCACATTGCCGGTTCTCCGTTACGGTGATGAGCTTTCCATAGTATAGGTAGTTTTTCACCTCCTCAAGATTGAGTTCATTCAACTCAACAGGTCGTGACGTCACATATTCATTCACAGATTCTTGTTTTGGCTCCGTCTGCTTCGGTTTTATTCGTTTTCCACCTCTTCTGCTTTTTCCCAACATACATCATTGCACGTTGCGGTCCGCATTTCATCTAAGCATTTAAATGCGAGGTCCGTTCTTATAATTGGTGCACTCAGATAATCCTGTCTCCATCTAATAGTCTTCCTATGAGCCATTTCTTCGCTTGGAAGAGGATCTAACGATTCGCTGGACGACGAGTAGCCTTAGGAAGGAATGCTGATGCAATAAAACCAGTATTCATTGGTGGCCAACGTTTCAGCTATGCAGCAGTAGCCTTCCTCAACAAGAGATATATGTATTTTTTTCTTCCTATGCTTTGATCATTACTGACGGGTCCAGGCAATCAGAAGGATTTTCAACGTAATATCCGGTCTCACAGAAATTTACTGCTTTTAAAATCGTATTTCTGCCTTTCCACGATTCTCAGAAATCCATAGTTTAAACTATGGGCGATGACCAAGTTAACAAAGTGCGTTGTCACTGCGTCGTATTTTGTCCTTCTGATACAGTTCCTTAAGAAGGTTGTTCGTGATGGTAGGAATAAATATTGCTACAGCGAAAAATTCATTCTTTTTCAAAGGTTTATGAGGCCCATACGGCTTCGTGCGTCTTTCAGCGAATTCCCAAAGGAATGCCCAGAGTCTTTTGAGGCTGCTTTCTTATAGATGCCTTTTTCCTTGAGGAATGCCTTTGTTATGTGGACGAAACGTTGGCAATGAAGTCGGAGAAATATTTTTAAATCAACTTCGCCTTGCCTCAAAAACAACTGAACCACGTGCTGTTGTTACTTCTGCCACCATCACTAACATAATCTGCTTCATATTTCTGCCGATGTCGGTCATCAGCCAATCTTTCATTCACTGTCTGTACCATACACTGCCGGATCACAGAACTCTTCGAAGCTAGCCCTGACAGTAGAACTAGTAGAAATACTTCTGTGTCTTAACTTGCCTACCTCTTTTCTGGGATCATGCAAGGAACCGGGTCGCGTTCAATGTAAACAGAGTCGGATGACCAGCAAGTGTATGAGGGGCTTGGCACAGAGTCGAAATGAACTTTCGAAGTCATTCTTATAACTCATGTCACATTGAGTAATATGTAAGTGTTATTCTAATGAGATGGATTCTAACGGTGGAAAAATAAAACTGATGTTGCAGCATGATGGAAAACAGTTAAATGAATTTAACAATAATTACGCTGGTATTTTAGACTATCCTTGCGGTTCGTCATCACCAATTCATCGACGAGATGCTCTTAACTCTTGTTCTGTAGTTCTCTGTATAATCCTCGCCTGTCTATCACTCTGTTTTATACACTACAACAATGTTGATGAGATGGGCTAATTTTTCTAGTTTCATTTCCCTTATTTTCCTTTTCCCCCTCTTTTCATCTTATTGTTGCTGTAGGTCCCATTCTTCCTTTTTCTGAATTTTCCTCTTCTTATTCGCATTCAAATTCTCCTTTGTCAGTACGTCGTCTTTTCCACATTCTTCTTCATATCAACCCTCTAGGCTTTCATTACCTCCTTAACATTCTTTCAGCCACCGTTCCTTTCGATCCCTGTCTTCTCATCTTCCTCCATCAATCTTATATCATTCTTTCTCGTTTCTTTCCTTCTTCTTCCCTTCGAAAGACTCTCTCTTTTCCCCAAATCTGATTTTCTATCATCCTGGCCTATTCACGTGACACTCCATAGGGAAATCCAAAGCTGCTTTTCCATTACGCCGTTTCGCTTCGGTTGGTTCAACCTATAATCCTCGTTCGTCGTTAAGCAACCGCTATTCCAAATTAGAGTCTTAGCTTAATTCGTGAAAAAAACTTAACCTCAAGCGAATTATCAATGCCCTCGTAACGGATCAGTTGAGGCAGCGTTGGCGATTAAAGATGGTACTAATAAGGTGGATCGCTTGGTCGCTCGGTAAGGCGCTCATCGTCGTCGCATCTGTCGAGGCTGTGGATGCGTCATTCATCGTCAGTTGTGTAAAAGTAAATTTGACAGTGCTTAACACTTTTCATCTCATTGAATTTTTGGCTGATCGCCGTCATCTGAGTCCGGTAAGTTGGACAGCTATGGATTGACATGGGATTAATGACCCGCGACGTATCTCGACACGATCTTTAATAAAAATTCTAGCTTTTTATTCATGGTGTTAATTTTTGATTTTGTTTACGTAATTCAGGATTAACTTTTCAGAAAGCATGTTCCATGATCTGACTTACTGTGCCGTTATGCTCTACGAAGCAAAATGATAAAGTTCTTACTTGCTTGCTTTACACCAGACGTTTCCTGACACTTTAAACTCAAACGGCACTTCAAGAACTTCAAATCAGAAATTTCACAATAGACAGCTTATTTTAATTTATTTTATGCAATCAAATACAATTATTATTATTCGGAGTCTAATGCATTACTTCCACCGCTTAAAAGTGATGGAAAGATGACAACTGATTTTTAAGAAGATGTAAACTTGATCAAATTGGGCTGATAGGTACAGCGATGCTGTGTTAGTTCATGAATTATACCCGGCCAAAGAAATATACCAAATGGAAGAGGTGACATTTGCCAATCCGCCAGACTAATACAGTGAACTATGGCCAAATATTCCAAAATGGAATCAAAACTGAAATCTTGGGTTGCAAGAGACAAAAGATTTACAGATTGATGGTATAATTGACTCAAGAAGTTTGTGTTGGACAAAATGGAGCAAGATCATATCAGACAGAATTTTTTGGAAAAATCTTGAAGGGGCTTTCATGCAACAGTGGCTAGACATAAACGCTAATCGTGATGGTTATTATCAAGCATTTGAAAGGGTTGTAGTTAGCTTACTTGTCTCTAAATGTTAGTGACTTTAGCAGAAATGCCTACATAGGCTTTCTGTATCAGTCCATTCGAGAGTACTTGTACAGCTGCCTTATCTTCCTTTAAGTCACTCTATGCACTTGCCTTCTGCTGTAATCGTGAATGCTGAATATTTGCTTCGATGGAAAATTAAATATGAGAGGAGGAAAGGTGATTAAGGCGTCGTCTTAAATTTTGGAAGTGAAACGTGACAATCGTCTAAATAAAGATATTTGGCGTCTTAATGAAAAGCGTCTGTTTCGCTTAATAATGTGTGGAGATGACAGTGACTTCGTCCTTTATCCGCCTTGCCATCGTTGTGGGCTGTCACCGAACGCATTTAACTCCTCTCCTCTTAAAAGGTTTCTGACGAATGGTCGTTTGGCAGTCCATTCAGGGTGTTGACATTCGTGGCCGACTGCTGATATCACCGTAACTTTAATCCAGCTCAGTGGAATCAGAGAGGTGGAGCCCTTTCTGAAGTTTTTGCCTCAGGCAGATACCACTGGTGCGAAGCGGGCAACAATGCAATCTCAGCCTACCGGAGAAGTCATTGGCACCCCTGCTTTCAGGTCCAGGCTCTGAATTCAGCAACAATCGTCGAACACATGAGCCTCTCCATTCTAGGTCCGCTGTTGGAATTGCGATGATGTGTTGATTCATGGCAAAGGACACAAAATTTCATCGATGTTATCATCTTAATATCAACGGGTTTGGCCTCCTGTGGCTGAACATCATCAGGGTCCAGTAGATATCCTTTGTGACGAGAAAAAATAATTTTCACTTTTTTTCTTTCAGATGTAATTGTATTTGTTCGTGGGGGTCATTCTGCTTGGTATTTTAGTAAAGCTAACTTTCTGGGAGATACTGTTGGATATAATTAACTGGAGTCAAGAAGATCGCTACTTTTGTATCTAGAGTAAATCGTTTTTAATCACCCAAGTAATTTTGCTGTCTTTCAGTAATGCATGATATGGCGCTTAGTTTCATTACTTTGTAGCATGGCTAAGACAGACATAGCACTTATGCACCTGCAGTACTTTACAGTAATAATATACCCTCGGTGGCTATGCCAGCACACCGCTACAGTAAGATTGCATCATTGGCATGCATGATTTTTGAAACCGTGCTGCAAACCATCGAATTTAGTGGCCAAAATAGATTCACAACAACAGCAGAGATCACATCCTCTGCTGATTATCACATTGAACAGGTAGACATCCGGGGGTTAAGGCAAATTAAAGCACTACGAGGCGCTCGCATCAGACAGCATCACCGTACCTCATGCCCATTCAGGTGTGGCCACACCGGATCACAACGAGAAGCAAACGAGCGGTTCACATGGATATTTGTTGCGGATTTACATTAATGCCAACGATAGCAACAGCTTCTG